TTTAAAAAAGTTGATCTATTTATATCAGGGGGGTTGGGGGTGGAATTTCTTGCCACCTGGGATGAGATTTAGTTTCGCACCAGCCCTGGCCCTAACATCAACCATGTGTAAAAGGAATGATGCAGTTAAATTTTTTGTTGTAGATAATGTCACAAAACGACAAAATTTTGAGGACATGGAGTTGATGTTTGAATTAAATAAAGCCCCAAGAAACTGGGTGTAGTGACACAAACATGGCCCTTCACTTGCTGACATTATGTTTAACACCTTAAACAGGTATTCAGTTTAAATATCTTCTTCTTCAGCAGCCTTTACGGATTAAGCCCTGTGGTCTGGAATGATTGATGTGACTACTTGAATGAATGAATTTGAATATCTGAGAAGTAAATAATAAAGAAATAAATAAAAAATATAAAAATAAATTATATTGAATCGGACATGTCATATTCAGAGTAAATTCATAGCTTCAAAGAGGGTCAGACTTGCAGTTGTGGGGGTCCTGAGGCAGTCAAAATATGGAGGCCAATGATAAATTTAGGTTATAGAAGTTTTCTTCTTGTTTCTATTCCTTATATTAAGTAAAAATGCAAACAAATATTTCAGTAGAATCTGTGGATTCTATTTCTGTTTTATGGAGACCCAAGGGTGACCACCCCAGTCACTCCCCCTTAAATCTGGTCTAAGTTCTATGTATCTACTTTTACATTTGACAGGATGTATTGAGCATAAGCTCATCATACAAAACAGTTTTTACTAACATTTATGGGTATACACGTTTCTTTTCTGCTGAATTATCCACATGTGAATAGCCAATGAACAAACTGTAAGGGGTAAGAGCTAGTTTTGCAACATTTACTCTTCCACTGATAATGGTTTATTTTAACTGAAACATATATCAGAATTAAATATACAAACAAGATGTATTATCAACATCCATTTTGTATGACAGGTGTTTATTCAGTAGTTTCTGTCAAAGTATACATAAACATAATGTAAATTATAACATTTTCTTACCTCCTTTGCAGAATATTTTAAAGAACTTTATTCATTGATGGAGCTTTAACTCCTGATGGATACAGGCACTTCCAGTCAGAGCTCAGGAAGATTTTTGGATTCTTTGTCCTTTGAAATTATTGCTAATGAACATGTGAAGTGTGAAGGTATAGTACATGTTGGCTACACAAAAAGTAATTTCACTTATGTTCTGATAGTTGTTGGCTTTTCCATGAAATATCACCTCTCCATGGTCTAATAATTAATTCTCTTTTCTCCCCATTATTTATTAATCAGTAATGCTGTCAAAATCTCAGACTATAGCATGAGATAGTATAATGATTTCAGTGAATGTGAATGATGTGGAAGGAGTTAGTCATGGCGTAATTAGGTGCACTGTCTCAGCATTTGCCTCGATGGACTAAAAAAACATAAAGAAACCTTCAGTCACGCTAGCCAGTGCCCTAGCCAAGATGTGAACTGGTCACTTCGTGAACACAAGTCAGAAGTATTACCACTTGAGCCAACCTGCTGTCCCCCCTGTCTGGTGTCTCCAAAATGGGACTGAAGGAATTGATTTAAAAGCTCCATTTTGTATATTTTGAATTATTTAATAGATTATCAAACGTATTAAAATGTGAGATGTTTGTAATTAAAGTTTGTAATTTACTGATAGAAAAAGTCAAATTATCCTTGTCAAGACATGTACAATTGTGAAGCCTTCATGAGCTTATCTTCATTAATTTGTAAATAAGTATCTTATTAGGTATTATTAGCCATATTTTGTTCATTTTATTTCCATGGTGTGTGTAATTATTTATTCTATAATTATGACATCCATTAACATTTGTGACTTCAGCACATAGATTGCCTGTACCACCAGAGATTCTTCATGGTTTTCCAGGCAAATGCCAGAATAGTATAGTAAATTATGCCATTAACACATCCTTTCCAATATATTATTCAACACTATACAGTATGAGCTACTGATGGTATCAAGACAAGTCATTCAGAAAATGAGCTTTCCTGCTTAAATGACTCTTTAGATTTGCTACCCTGTAACCTACTTTTGACTCTTCACATGACTGATATGCTTTATGCAACGATTATTTTGTAAATTGTGTTGCCCCGTATGTTCCTTTCTTTCTAGGGATAGCTGAGTTCTGCAGAACATAATGTTCTGTCCTGTCAGTAAATCCAACAGAATTATAAAAAAAAAAGCATGTAAAGGTCTACAGCTAGAAAGGACAGTTTTTTGAAAATTAGTGGATTCTGAAGGGAAAGTTGTAAGCCCTAATGTAGATGCAGTTTTTTAAACAACCATAAGCTCTACATTTATGAAATTTGGCACACAAGTAGTTCAGAATCCCTTGTATCTGCTGATATTTTCTTAAGTTTTCCTTTACAGGTAGTAAAAATTTGATTACAGGTTAATCATTGTAAAGAATAAAAGTCAACAGGTTTGAAGAATCCTCAACTACATGTGTGCCATATTTAACAACTGTAGAGTTTGTGTTTCTGTAGAAAAATGTATCTAAATTTGATGATATTAACATTGCAGAGATAGGGCTTATAACCTCCATTGGAATGAAAAGATTTTCAGTATTAATAACATTAGGGTAGTTTCTTTTCAGCCTTTTAATATTCAATGAATCTAGTTAACAGTAGGTTTACTTACAAAAACATAGGGCCCATAATATAGCATATCTCTTACAAATACTAAATACTTCTAGCAAATGGTAACTACAACCATATTACATATTACAACATTCTTATTCTAAATTAACAATTTTTATAAATTGTAACTTGGCAAGTGCCAAACCATCAGTCTTTGTAACATGCATTTTGTTACCATGTGAGCAAGCGTATTTCATTAGCTGTAACTGTTTATTTGTCTTACATTTTACCAAGTTCTAAGATAAGATAAAGTATGACTTGGGCTATGATATTTAGCATATGCTCTTAACAGTTCTATCGTCTTCACTATGCTTTGTAAATTAATTTGTTGCCTCTTGACTGATTATATATAATTATCTAGGCACAAACTGTTTAGTGCAACTTTAATACCAGAAGAGATTCAGTGAACTTCTATGTGCACTGATGTAAGTGGAGAAGGGAATCGTCAAATGATTACGCTTATATACTTCATGTACTGTACTCAAGAGCACATTATATTTATTGTATTTTGACATGACTTTTATATTCTTAAATGCTTAACCATATCCTCTCCTAATACACCACTTATAATCATTTGACATCTTTGGAATATTGATCAGGTACACTTTTATCAGAACTACATGCAAATCCAAGCATCAGCTTTAACAATTCACTATCATTCACTCAACAACGATGGCTATAGTTATGTGATTAATTCTTCTCAGGTGACTAGTAACGTCAATTTGAAGTCAAAATCCAGCGTTTCAGAAGCTCCTATGCCTCCATCATCTGAGAAATATTGTTCCCTCATTATGCAGATAGAGAATATTCACCATAAAGAATTATGTCTTCTGGGATAAAACACTGTATAGTCAATGGAAAATCAACAGATATTTCAGAAGAACATGTCGCCTCTAACTTCAGGATCAAAGAATAATCCAAGTAGGCTCTGCTTGCTACCTGTTGCACATTAGTTTCTTGCTTAGCTCATGCTTTGACCCTGAAGATGGTGGTATCATGTAACTCTGAAACATCAGTTGACTTTCAGTGGACTACACAACATTCTTCCCTGAAGATAGGATTCTTCACACCCGCCATTCCAAGAACCTCATTTCATACAAGATCCACAGTGTCAGACTTCAGTTCCAAACTGATGTGCCTCATCACCCAAGAACAATTTATTCTGGACCTTAATGCTGTAGGCAAACTGTGTGTGTCTAGAGTGGAGATCAGCTCAATTTAAAATTCATATATGCTTCCCACTGATCCATCTATAGGAAAATTGTACTTCCCACTGTCTGAGACAAGGATGGAAGTGTACGCATATGGTACAGATCTAGAGTACAAAGTCTAGAAATTAGTAGAATTTCCTTAGAAGGCCATGGTGTGTGGACATGCTTTAAATGTGAGGTTTTGGGTGAGTGCAAAATTCTGTCGCCTGTGATGTGGCACCACATGGCCTGGTATGTTTACTGACATTTTGGAGAAAAATACAGCCTCCATCTTTACGGGCTGGAAAGTAAGCCAAGGAATCAAGCACCAAGCCGAGACTCTCCATTTTTTCGTGATTAGTATACTCTTTGACCCTGAAGATGGAGGCAGTACAGTCCTTCAAAATATCAGTAAACTTATACAAGATTACATGGAATCAAATCGCCATAAGGCAGTAATCTTCACAGTTACCACTGTAGGAATCTTGGATCTCACAAAATGGGATATGTTTTTATTAGGCCTGCTGTCTGTTACCAGTTTCATCTATTTACAAGCAGTTCTTCTTTGGAATCAACACTGCGTGGGAATAATTACTCTGTACATATACAAAAACATTAAAAACTTTAACAAAATTAAAAAAATTGGAATGCAACCTTTATAGGAATGTAAGTATACATGGCAGTTTTCTGGAACATGTTTCAAATTGAAATTAATAAAAAAGGAAATGGTATATATATAATGAAATGTATTTGCTCTGTTATGAAATTATCAGCAAATAATTTAAAACTTACAATATCCTGTACACTGTACTGATTATCAGTCACAGAATTTCAGCAAGTTCCTGTCCTTATGGGCAAACAGAAAAAGAAAACCACAAAATACCATCCTCAAAATTGACACTGATAATAAAGGAGCCAGTCAGGCAGTTAGACATTGACTTTTCACAATGGAACCTTGGGATTAGTCTCAGAAGACTTCATACGAAATTCATCGTAATTGAATTAGCACTGGCGCAGAGTTTTCTCTACATTTCTTTGGTTTCCCCTGCTAATCACTATTCCACTATTGCTCCACACCCAGTTAGTAAGAACCCCTGANGATAAAACTTATGTAAGATTTGAGGCTTTCACGGCGGTGACTATGAAGAAAGCAGTCTTCTGGGATTTGGCACCGTGTATATGTGGTGTTAACCGACGTTTCGGAGGAACGTATCGTGATACAGATTCTAAATACAATTTTCTGCATAACCTATATGATTCTTAATAATGGAATGACTCATTAATTGTATAGCTCTGCCATACAGTACTCATTATAATTACTACCCTACACTGTTTTATTTTGACATGTACATGGAGTAAGCAAAACTAAGTTTTATCTTCAGATGTACATGTCAAAATAAAACAGTGTAGGGTAGTAATTATAATGAGTACTGTATGGCAGAGCTATACAATTAATGAGTCATTCCATTATTAAGAATCATATAGGTTATGCAGAAAATTGTATTTAGAATCTGTATCACGATACGTTCCTCCGAAACGTCGGTTAACACCACATATACACGGTGCCAAATCCCAGAAGACTGCTTTCTTCATAGTCACCGCCGTGAAAGCCTCAAATCTTACATAAGTTTTATCTGCTTACAAATCTACAGTAGTCCTGAATAAAACTCCTTTACTTACAGGGCTTGCAGAGCAACACAGCCACTTGGGCCACCACATTTTCTGAATATCCCCCCCCCTCCCAAATGGGAATTAATTTTTCTAATCTTTGATCATTTTGTGAGCATTAATTGGCAATAATATAAATATGTCATGAAACTGTATTAAAAAGTGTTTTAAGAATTACAACACCAGTGAAGGGCTTCATCACAACGTCCAAAAATGTTGTTTCATTAATTTTGACTACATTTTGAGAACGTTGATCTTTTAGAACTGAGGAGGGGATGGAATTTCTCATCACTGAGGGTGGCTTTTAGGCCCTACTGGCTTGCATATTGCATGAATTATACACCAGATAGTACACAATTTAAATTGGGGATGTAAAACCAAGAAAGTTGTGTCAATGAATAAAAAAATTTTCATGCTACACTTTTTGGTAGGGGGGAAAGGTAAGGTTAAGAAAGAAAAATTTGTGTGCGCTTGAGGGAATCAAGTGAAGACTACTGTCTTCAGGGATCTGACATGATGTAGTCTGGTACATCAGTATAAATGTTTTAGAGGAACCTGATGCATCCATCTTCAGAGTAGATGACTGCCTTGAAGAAATATGCAGCAGGTTGCTCCAAAACAATGGTAACAGTTTACCAGACTATATGATATCACATCCCAGAAGACAGTGATAATCATTAATCCTATAAATTCTATAAATTACGGGTGCAGTAGACGTGAAACCCATCTGCACATTTCAAGAAACTATGCATATTTTAAGCATCATCTGTAATGCTTACCTCTTCTGTTATTTCAGTAATATAAATGAATAAACTTCAGTTTTCATGTAAATTATCAATAATCTGAAAAGTGGGATACAGTTGAAACCATAACTGACCACTGACAACCAGCCAGTAAAATCCATGTTCAGATAAACTCCATGTATTTCATTACATAACACATTCTCTTAAAATTGTCATTATAAATCACACTTATCTTGTACAACTTCTAAGATGAGCTACAATAGATTCTAACCATAGTAACACAAATGTACCATCTGCAAGGTTCTTATAATTACATGGTCAACATTCCTTAAGAATTACTTAAATGTATTTGGTAAACAAATGACTATATGATGATACATCACATTTCATAAAATTATTTGCATAAAATCATGTTCTCCTATTTTATATTAATAAAATTGAGGATTTCTGATGTTTTGAAGAATGTTAAGCATGAATAGTCAACTGTTGTCAGCGGGGCCTTGGAACATTGGCTGCAAATTGCCCTACATAGTTACCCCTGGGGTTATAGTTTGCAACAATCAAAACTCTTCCATTTTTGCTTCTAGCCAGTCCCATTCCAAGTTCTTGGCTATTTTTCCAAATCATTTGGGAAAAGTGACCTGAAAAATTATACATGTCATTTTATATGGTAAAATTATCATACAGCATCTTAGATCAGTGCGGTTTTAAAGAAGAACTGAATTTAGACAGTACAAATAGCATGAAATAAAAAGAGATTGAACACAGAACCAACATGAGAAACCGAGGTTACAAGGATTTTACAAGCCATATCCTTGCAGGGTTGAATTTTATAAAATTTAGATTTGCTTTTTTGAGTGACTATAACCTTTAAAGCTTTGAAATTTGGCATGCATATAGGTGGGAATTCTTTATATTTGACTTTATTTATTGATTTATTTGTAAGACCAATTTAGGTAAAAATTTGTATTAAGAAAAGTTTATTAAAATTATGATCAGTTATGTGATATAATTTGGCATGACTGGGGAAGTCTCAGTTATGAAAGACTTGATAAGATGTAGCCTCACCAGTACCCCTAAAAATGTCAGACATTGTGTTGGTAGAATAAATCAACCATTATCACAAACATTTACGGAATCATAACATAAAGAGTGCAGTCAGACCTAAGACTGAGACTTAATATATTCCCAAAAATATGTTACAGAGTATTAAGTATTTAAAGTGTTAAAAATTAGTCAGTTAAACAATTTTTACCCAGGATGATTAAGAATTGTAGTTCTTGCCAACACAGCAATACAATGTGGCATAAGTCCAAAAATCAAGTTTTCATTCACAAATTTGAAAATTCAGAGAGTAAGTATTTTGGATGTTAATACAAAGAAATTGTAAGTGAGGAAATTGTAGGTCAAGGCATGGCTGTATTAGGACATGGAATGACATTTCTACTACCTACTGGTAATTTATCATTGAATATATGAAATACCTGATTTCAATACACGTGGCTCTGCTCCAAAAGTAAAATCTTTGATTTCTTTGTACCAACTCTGGCAGGCATCCTTAGCAGTTACTTTCTGTTGAAGATCTGAAGACCACATACAGTAAATGTTCTCCCCATACTTTCCATCAGGTCGATGACCAAATCTGTCTTCCCGTGCCAGTGTTTTAGCCCACTCTTTTGCATAACTACAGAGCTGTCCATTAACAGTAAGATACATATAAGTGGTTCTGTCACATTTCAGTTGTGTTATTTACAAAATACTTAGAGTAGTTAAGTTAATAGGTTAAAACATTAACCCAGTAAGACACAATATGAAAAACAAAAACTTTGGAATGTAAAAATATTAAGCAAATATATTTGTACAGAAAAATACAAAGAATTGCAACATAAAAGCTATCAGTATCCATAAACATACTCTGTAATCAAAGTTGAAATTTAAACGTTCAGAAAATGTAGTTCATTGACATAACTTTTGTTTGGAACATATTGCAATTTCATATATTTTTAAATATATGGCTATATAACATTATTTATTTTCATAAATAAAGTGTCAGCTCTAACCAGTCAGTTATACCAAAATTCTTTATTTTCTGATTTATATTTCGGCAATGACTTCATATACAAAATTTAATTAATTTTATTAGTTTTCAGAAGCTGCAAGAATTGATACGCCATAATGGTGCAACAATAAGATTGTGGGAATCCCCACATACTAACACGCAGCTTCGTCTATCTAACAGACAGCATTCAACTTCTGCTCAAACCAAGTCAATGTCACATTGCGGCCACCACTCGTATTTATACAGCACTCGTTGTCCAGCCCACCTGTAGATCATCACGTGCACTAGCCAAACAGTGCTCACAATCTCAACTGCAACTTTAGCTCCCCCCAACAAGCATGGTATAAAAGGCGGAGCTCACAACACACTATCATCGATGGTTGATCACTGATTGGATTGGGATCCATTCATTGATTCAAGGAGTGAGGTCGATGAGCAACAATTTTTATGTTTGACAACATTCGAGATTGGCTGTGAAACTTGGAACATTTTGGTAATTGAAACTTGGATTGTGCATTACTGAATGAATTCTCAGTTGTGTCTTAGGCAATATTGCTTGTGGATTCAGTGTGGGCAGTGAGTTGTGTCTTAGTGTCTTGTAGTCTTATACGTCAATACTCGGCTGGGTTGTTGAATCTGTAAGTGCCGAGCCAGAGATGGCTGGCGTCCCTGTGCCGGGGTACCAGGCATTCTGGGCTGAAAAACGTGCTGCTCTACAGGCCGAATTTAAAGAAATTATGCAGTACCCTGATGCCGAAACCCAGTACAGGCGCTTATTCGACACCCTGTGCAACATTGAGGACGTGGCCGGCTTCACAACTGCTGCGGTTGGAGAAACTGCAGAATGGGCGGCAATAGTCAGCGCCGCCGACGAAAATAGGATTAATTACTGCAAGGCCCTCTCCGGCAAGACGCTGTTCATTGCACTCTATGGAAACTATACAGTTACGCTGAACGAGCTGAAGTCCCTGGTAAAGGCCAGCACATCAAGCACAGATATTCCAGCCTGGGAGGAAGGCTTCAAAGAAGTCTGGAGGTGGAAATGACAGAGTACCGCTGAATCCGCACTGACTCCAAAGAAAGCAATGGCAGCCTTCAAAAGGAACCCCAAAACAGAGGTTGCCACCAAGAACTACTTCGCTCCCCTTGGGGCGGCAACGATGGAAACGGACACTTCTGGTGCCGAAGCCACTACACTGGAGAAGGAAGCTGCAGTTAAAACCAGGTAGGCCTCCCCCGGTAATACTAACGTCCACAATCGATCTTATTCAGTTTCAGAGCCAACTGAAAAATGTGGTCAAAGGCGACTTTGAGTTCCGTAATACCAAAAACGGGACCAGCGTCATCACTAAAAGCATGGTGGATTTCAAAGCCGTCAAGTCTCATCTATCCAACAATAAACTTTCCTACTATACCTTCTTTCCAAAGTCCCAAAAACCCATAAAGGCTGTAATCCGTAATCTCCCTCACAATACCCCTGCGGAGGATATTTCTGATGGGCTGGTGACCCTGGGATTTGATGTGGTTAGCGTCAAACAGATGACAACCACCCGAGGGTCGCCTTCAGAAGAAAGGATATCAAGAACTCTTCCCCTCTTCCTTATCACCCTACCCCTGACGGTTCCATCTACAAAGCCTTTGCCACATATCCATCCGGGTTGGAGCACAGAGTGGCCTTATGCAGTGTCACAACTGCCAACAGTTTGGCCATGTCTGGGCCAATTGTAAACAACCTCCCCGTTGCATGTGGTGCGGGGATGGCCACCTGCACAAAGAGTGTCCAGAGAAAGAGAACGCTGCCTCCACTCCAGCTTGCTACAATTGCCAGTTGAAGGAGTGAGAGAAGCCCCATCCCGCCAACTATCAGGGCTGCAAACACGCGAAGGAGGAGCTGCAGAGGTAGAACTCGCACAGGGCATGCAAAACCACAACGGGAAGAGTGTTTCCTCAAATATCGTTACCCCTGGAGTCTCCTTCATGGCAGCGCTCCAAGGTAGCATATCGCAGGAGCAGCGACCTCAGATTCGCCAAGATCCAGTGGCAGTTCCACCAGAAACCACGAAACCGAACGGCCCGGTCCTTGTACAGGAACAAAAAAAAAACAGGTCAGTCAGCTCAGACTACTCATGTAAACAGTCCATCTCTCGACAATATGTTGAGAGTAGTGATTGTAGAACAGCAGATTATGACAGAGGTCAGTGGTGCAGTGTCTGAGGAAGAAAAAATAATAGCCATTACTAAAATTATTCTAAACCTAATGAAACAAAATGGCCGCTAGAGTTCATAGGCCCCTCACAGTCATAGCATTTAATGTGAACGGCATTGGGAGGCAGCGCTATGAGCTCAGTAAACAGCTGCAAGACCTACATATAGATGTGGTCCTGTTTTCAGAGACACATCTGAAAAACCTCGTGAGAAGTTCTTTATTCCAAATTACCACTTTTATAGAATCGACCGCCACTCGGGCAGAAAAGGCGGAACTGCCATTGCAGTAAGAAAAGGAATTCCCCATAACCATGTAGACCTACCACCCCTTGTTTCAGTAGAAGAGACAGGGGTCTGCATACCAATTGGTAATAGCGAAGTGCTGTTTGCAGCTGTTTATAAATCTCCAGGCAGAGCCTGGAGTGATGCTAACATCACTGAGCTCTTAAACTTCAGACATAAATCTATTTTGGCAGGTGATATGAATGCTAAGAACCCATTTTGGAATAGCAGAGTTTCAAACCCATCAGGCTTGAAACTTATGGATTTATTTGATACGAGTGATTTCGAAATCTCAGCACCACAGTGCCCCACTCATTATTCCCCTGCAGGAAATGGTGACGTGTTAGACATTGTGGTTCACAAAAATATCAGACAGTCAAATGTCATATTTTAGCGTCCTGTTGCACTGATTTAAGTCCATGATTTATTTAATCCGTCTTGCAGTGCATACACTCATTTATCTCCTTCTCTCCCTCGCACTACATGTTTCGGCATAATAATGCCATCTTCAGGTGCTTACTTATCCACGTCAAACCAGTTCATTGCATGCCATGTTCACACATTAAAATAACTAAAATATGCATCTATCATATACATTGTATATGATAGATATGTATATGATATGTATATGATAGATGCATATTTTAGTTATTTTAATGTGTGAACATGGCATGCAATGAACTGGTTTGACGTGGATAAGTGAGCACCTGAAGATGGCATTATTATGCCGAAACATGTAGTGCGAGGGAGAGAAGAAGATAAATGAGTGTATGCACTGCAAGACGGATTAAATAAATCATGGAGTCAAATGTCATCGTCTATGATATTTTGGACTCAGATCACCTACGAATAGTATTCCACATACCGGATCACGTTAAAATTTGGAATATTTCAACCCACTGAAAAATTTACAGATTTGGAGCGGTTTCAAAGCCTCGCTTCTGAATTAATATCACCTAAACTAGAAATTAATTCGGGGGTAGAAGCCGATAAAGCGGCACGCGACTTTGCAGCCTCTATTGCTTTGACATATAGGCTGTCGACAAGTAAAGTTACACTTTCGGACATAAACAACGACCTACCTGGTCTAGATCGTTTGATAAAATATAAGCAGAGGCTACGAAAACTGTGGCAAGAAACCAGGGATCCAGCATGTAAAACGGCAGTCAATTGGGTCACCAAATCGATCAGGCGGATGACCCGAAAAGAGGCACTTGAACGGTGGGAAACAAAAATAGATAACGCTGAAGTCACACCTCAGAGTATATGGCCCATTGCGAAATCTCTCCTTAAGAGAGACAGACCAAGGGCACCAACTGCTATTCATGGTTCTTCTGGCCTTAAGTTTTATCCTTCTGAAAAAGCCAACGAAATTGCAGACTGTTTGGAAATTCAGTTCACGCCACATGACCTGTGCGACGAAAACCATGAACAGCAGGTGGAGGCTAGAGTTCAAGTTCTGCTGGAAGCCGTAGATGAAAATCCCCCTCTAAGGATCAGACAATGTGACGTTCAGAAATTAATAAATTCTCTGAAATTAAAAAAGGCCTGTGGAATTGACGGCATCCCAAATGAATGCCTCAGGCACCTTCCAAGGCGACCATTGGTTCACGTAACTCATTTATTCAATCATTGTTTTCTTTCTCATTTTCCAAATACTTGGAAGGAAGCAAAAGTAATAACTTTACCTAAACCCGGTAAAGACCCGAAATTTCCTCAAAATTTACGTCCGATCAGCCTCCTGTCCATGACAGGAAAACTATTCTAAAAAGCAATCTTTAAATTCCTCCGTAAACATATTGAAGAAAGAGGCCTGCTCAACGCAAGTCAGTTTGGTTTTCGTGCGCATCACAGCACGACATTGCCATGTATGAGGCTGGCGGACGTGACCCTTAATTTCAACAATAAAATGTCTATGGCTGCAGTGTTCTTGGACATCGAAAAAGCCTTTGATACCACGTGGCACTCAGGCTTGCTGTATGAGTTATCAAAATTGGAATTCTCTAACTGTTTGACCAAGCTTATTGGGTCCTTTCTTTCTCAGCATACATTCAGGATCTCGGTTGAAGGTGAAATCTCAACGCCAAGGGAAATGCAAGCAGGGGTATCACAAGGTTCTGTCCTTTCCCCTACTCTTTTCAACTTGTATATAAATGAACCCCCTCCCCCCCAAAAAAAACTCATGGTGTTCACCTGGTCCTCTTTGTGGAGGACACCTGTCTATATGCGACAGATCGCAAGGAGGGTTTCATTGTCAGAAAACTCCAGCGCAGTCTCAGCTCAATGGAGACCTGGTTTGAGCGCTGGAATATAAAAATTAATGAAGATAAGATTCGGGGGGTCTACTTCTCTCGTGGGTATTGGCCGCCTGAGTATTGTCTTACTCTTAATGGACAAATATTCCATTTGTAAATAGTGCAAAATATCTAGGTGTAATCTTCAATAAGAGAGTTACATGGAGATTGCACATAGAAATGATCGAAGCGAAGGCCTTCAGAACATTCATTAGAGTATATTCCCTATTCAAAAGTGAGCGATTGAGCGCTAACATTAAATTGACCCTCCACAAAGCTCTTATTAGATCTGTAATGACTTATGCTAGTCCCGCCTGGGAGTTTGCGGCAGACACCCATCTAGTGAAATTGCAGCGCCTGCAAAATAAGGTTCTCCGCACCATTGGCAATTTTCCGAGGCGCACACCGGTCCGCGAATTGCACATGGCATTCAAAATTCCATACGTATATGATTACATGACAAAATTATGCAGGCAAAAAGCAGAAGTCATACAAAATCATGAAAATGAGAATGTTCGCATTATTGGTCAACGTGAAGCCCAACATAGAAAGTATAAGAGGCTTAAACTTGGCGGTGGTCAGGCATACGACCGTTCAAGTGACTAGACTGCCATGGTAGCAAATAATACTAGAAATGGGGCATAATCTGCTGTACAATGCCTGGATTGACAGAGGCCTTGTATATATTGTACGTAGAAATAGGAATTAAGACTAGAATTAAATTGTAAATATATGTCAATACTGACAATGGACTGACTAAGACTGACAAATGACAGAACCGACCTCTCGTCAGAGAGGACGCCCCAAATGGACAGGACAGCAACTTTCACAAAGAAGAAAACATCTGGTCATGAGCCCCAGCTGGGGCTCGACACCAAGACAGACAGACTGACTGACTGTCAGTTGCAACATGACTTTGACGCTATCATCAGTTCTTCGATCTTCCTCACTGTGACAAAGACAGTTAATGCAGCTACTCTGACGTCATGAAGCAGCAACAGCTCTCCAGCAACCATGCCGAGGCAATTGCTCTGTCGTCTCCCACACCATAGGCAGCTGTTCCTACCAGCGCACGCAGCACCACATCACCGGCCAGCAGGCCAGCTGAACGGCCGTAAAGACCTGGTCTGCTACAAAGCAGCAAACGCTACTAGCGCATGCACGGCCGAACAAACGGCCCTTTTCAAGGCCCGCAGACTTTTTAAGTGGTTGTCTATTAGACCACTGACATCCCACATTGGTGACCCCGACTCAGCATGGACGCCGCAGACAGTTCGCAAGCAGCAGTATCCAGAGTGGCCGTGCGGCTCCCGCCGTTCTGGCCCGAGCAACCAGCCGTGTGGTTCGCCCAAAAATACAGTAATCTGCTGAAGATGTAGGATGTGATGCTGTGTTTTCTGTTAGATGGGTACATGTGTACCAGACCACACAGTGTCACCAAGCAGGTTAACAGAGCAGTAATATTAAAAAGATGATTTGTTTACATCATGACCAGGACATTGGATCTCCTGACTGGGATTTTTCATGGTTTACCTCAGTCCTCTAGACAGATTCTTAGGTGCTATCTCAATTAGGCTATGACTGCTTCCTTGCAAATTCTTTATAATTAATAAATTATCAGCCATCCTTCCACTCGATGCTATATAATATAGATACTGATAGTATTGTTGAACAACCCACAATGACACATAATGTAACATCTGTGAGGTTTGTATATTCACCTCTGTAAGTATATGCCTCCATCAATGCAGTCAATACTAGAACTATATGCTAGTCTTAGTAATAACATCATTATCTTTTATGATGTGTGAATCAGACACCTAATGCTCCTCATGTAAGTAGGATTAGAGGTTCTTATAATAATGACAGATGAGTATGAACTTTTGAGTTGTAATGTGGTCCAGTTTGGAGATACCGCGAAGTTTCAGAGAAACATGTCACACCTGGCTACAGCTGGGCTTGCTGCCTGCTTCTGCATAATTTTTGACCATGAAGATAGGGGTGGTATGTTCCTTTGAACTGTCAAGCTGTCTCTAAACTACACAGCATTGCAATGTAGAAAACCATTCTTTTCCTACTGTGAGTAGCTTTTTCAGTACTAACAGCTGTGTAACTGTTTGCTATCATGGTTTGTGTGCTGAAATAAATAATTTATCTTACCGATTTACTGAGTTTTAGGTCAGGTACCCCATGCTTTCTTCTGTACTCATTATGAATTCGAAGACCTTCTTTTGCAAATTCTTCTTCATCAGAGCTTGCATCATCATCAGCCATCTTCTCAGGTTTAGTTCTCTTTGTTACACCGTTTTTACCCTGACTTGAAGCAGCAAATCCACTGTAATATATATACTCTGGTTTAGGACTAGAGTAATATTATGTGAGTCAGTTTCTGCTGATAGTTATATCATGACACATGACTTTGAGTGACAGTTGCATCATTCTGTATGTTATCCATGACAGTTGCATCACTCTGTATGTTAATCTTTCTTTTGCCTCAAAATAAAAAATGATGGCTTTCAAGTGAAAGTACTCAAGATAACTTCAATATAATTTACAAAACGCAGTATTAGAACTAGCTACAAATTTTAAATATCTCACCTTCAATGTCGCATGTAATCATGGTGAAATGAAATATACCTCAAAGCACATATGAAGCTATTTCAGTAACATCAAGTAAAAGGATTAGAACAAAGATAATGTTGAAATTTTACAAAACTATGGCTCTGCCAGTAGTATTCAGTGTTTTATCATATTGAACATTATGTATGTTTTGTAGTAAATATAATTAATTTCTCTTAAAACAACAAAATTTAATTACTTTTCAGTGGAAATTAACAACAGACTATGCGAGAAAGCCAGTGGTAATTTATGGTGGTGGAGGAAGACATGTAGGTAGGAGGTAACTGCTAGGCAGATGAGACAAGAAATATCTGTGTTCATTCTTCTCTTGACTCGACATTAGACATATATGTGTGTGTGCAGAGTTTCAAAGTAGTTCCACTTTGAAACAAATACTTAATCTGAGATAAGTTGCTGAGTTGATCCATCTGAGTATTCCTTGATCTTTTATGTCACACTTCACACTTACCCAAGAGGCGGCACATTTTCAGCAAAACTACCAATGAAATTTCCTGGGGGAGAATAATTTGCCACAACAAATATTTGTCCATTACGACTTTTTGCAACTGCAACTCCAATTTCTTTGCTGTCCCGCCAAACAACCTGACTGAAGTGACCTGAAATCATATAGAAAATATCTGGCCATTAAAGAGGATGATTAAAGAAATATGGCATATTATCATCAAGAGAGAAACTTCTATGCCTAACACTAACAATCACAAGTGTGAATCATTGCAACAGCTAGTTCATGTCATTATCACCAGTGATCTATTTGGTGATAATGTACCTTATTTTCAGCATGGGTTCCACCAAAGAACCCATAACATAATCATGTTGAAATAGTATAATAATGTACACCTATACTTCGAAATGAGGAGCTGCGACAGCTCAGCCAATATAGTGACTGGCTATGGACTGGAATGTCAAGGAGTCAGAGATCAAGTCTGGTTCTGGGCCCCATCCAGCCTCCTATCCAATGGGTAATGCGGGGGTAAAGTGGTCAGGGCGTGAAGCTAACCACTCACCTTCAAATAGTGTCAAGGTCAAGTATACATAGATCTATAAATCCACTACCCCCATTCACCTTCATGGCATAGTGTTTAATTAGTTTTTTTTATTGCTAGTGAGGTGGGACTAAGTCCCTTGCACTGCGGCCACTTCTGGCCTATTGTGCCAGCCCCAGATGATAGATGAGGGTGATTGTGGAGCAATTAGTGGAATGAAGATTGGCAGGGGAAACCGAAGTACTCGGGAAAAACCTGCCCCAGCGCAACTTTGTCCACCACAAATCCCACTTGACCAGACCTGGGATCGAACCCAGGCCGCCGCGGTGAGAAGCCAGCGACTAACCGCTTGAGCTATGGCGCGGCCTAAATGCTGTTCCCAAGCGGTCAGCCATCGAAGTACTAACCACGCCCAGTGTTACTTAACTTCGGTGATCGGACGAGAACCGGTGTTTTCAACATGGTATTTGTTAAGTACAGGGCGAACTTTACCTTTACTTCAAAATGATTTTTATGTTTAGGAAAGTAATATGTTGAGGAAAATTTTTCTTTTCCCAGCAGGGAAGGTATTTATTTATTTGCATGAACAGTGAAATGAAAAAATGTGGAAGGAAACGGTGGTCACTGAATCAGTGGTACTGTCATTCTATCTGCCTTAAAGGGCCGAGAAAAATCTCAGTATAGTAGTGTCACCAGAATACAAGTCAGAAATGATACCACTTGAGCCAGTCTGCTATGACAAAGATCCATTTTAAGAATAACTGCATAAAAATATAGGTGACACCTTAGTTAGTTACTTTGTTAGTCAGTTAGTCAGTTAGTTAGTTATTGGAGAGGGTGAGTTTCCCCATGCACTGAGACCAGTACTGGTCCATTGTGCTTCCCTCTATGATATTCTACCAGTCTCTATACCCTACCGATATTGGTGCGTACCATCAGTCCCGACCGAGCCAGCGAGTTCGGCCTCTACTGGCTTGGCGGTGTCTATAATGCTTCCCCCATCTATCAGAGGCGTTAGAGACTACTGTTGGGCGGGAAATGTCCTTGAATTCAGCTCAGTGACCTCCTTTTGAGATATGTGGTTCTTTTACGTGCCATAAAGCTACGACACGGGACCCACGGCTTAAAGTCCCTCCCGGAGGACTTGTTCCCTGAATTTTTCCGCCTTTAAAAATTCCACGACCTCCGCCGGGTTTGAACCCACGTACCACGAGTCATGAGGTGGGAACGTTACCTCTAGACTACGGAGGCCGCTTAGGTGACACCTTACTTGTGACTTCTTTTTTTTTTCCAAGCCAGATTTATGCCAAAAACCTCTTAACTTACATCTGCAGCCAACATTTGTGAGTGCAAGTACTGGACTGCTTGTGCTTTTGGTGCTGTGCATTTAATGTTATGTTTTGTTGGCTGCCATGACTGAAAATAACAGCGTTCAGAACCAAGCAAGAAGCCCAGAAAAGCACATACTTTAGATATATGAAGTTTTGAACCTACATAAATTTGGCCTGAAAGTGCATGAACTGGCTAATAAATTTAAGTTGATTTGTTCAACTATGAGTACGATTTTGAAGTACAAGGCTGAATATTAGAAGGAAATGAAAAATAAAACTGACTGAGTTTCTTTGCTGTCAGCAAAGAAACTTGTGAACTTGCTTTGTATGACTGTAAATAGAAATTTATGCCTGCCTAGCATGCTGAGAACCCAAGGTGACTTAAGGGTGTGGTAAAGGGCACGCTTCCAGTCATTTCCTGAATCTAGCCATCCTCCTTTTGCAAGAAGTTTAGTTTTTAACGATCCAGATGATCCAGATAGTCTCTCATGCCTTTCTGCTTTCATCCATTAATCCTCCCTTTCCACAACATACAAATTATATGTTAGGAAAGAACTAAACTTTTGTGAAACAAATTTTTAAAAATGTATATTTGATGTCTGATTTATTCTCTAGTGAATGTGTGTTTTCATTCATTAATAAATATATAGGCATGTAATTAAAGTTTTATTTAGTTTCCCTTCATTTTCTTAATCAGTTCTGGTAATTTTGGGGGATTAAATTGGTTTCCAGAGGGGATCACCTTTATGCTAATATAGAGATAATTTTAACAAGGAAATATTCTAAAAAATAAAAAGGTGAAGCTGTCCCTGCAACAGGCAATTAAGGCCCATGGGGGTGTGAGAGGTCAAGGCTCCCACATTTTCTAGACAATCGGCTCACAGATGGCAGTGAGGTTATCAGCGTACTTTTTAAAACAAAAGGGCTGTACTTAAGAAATATTAGAGTGGGCATTAATGGATTGAATGTAAAGGAAGTAAGACAGAGAGATAGAATCCATAATAAATAAATATCTACCAATAATGCAATTAACTTACCAGACTTGAGAGTTCTAGGTTCACGACCAAATGGATGATCTTTTATTTCACTGTACCAGTTATCAACAGGTTCTCGGCCTGTTACACGGTAGCTTGGGTTGGAAGACCAACTACAAAATATATTCTCCCCATAATCTGAATTCTGACGATGCTCAAGATGTCCTCTTGAAGCAAGTCGTTTCGCCCATTCTTCACTGTACTTGCACAACTGTAACAATACAAATTGTACTTCTGCTTAATAGGGTAAGCAGCCGCGTTATAAAGGTATATGGGGGAGTGGAGGTATGGCCCCACCATTCTTGACATCAGCACTAGATGGAGATGAGTGATCAGCTTCACAACTCAGCTGCTTTACCCCAAGGGAAGAGAGTCCCCAGTGCCAACTTCATAGGAGTCTGGGTGGGCCCCAGGGCTGAATTGGGTACTGTGAAGAAGGGAAAATCACTTGTCACTGCTGAGAATCGAATTCCAACCGTCCAATTTGCGGCCTGTCTCTATACTAACTGAGCTCTCCTCAACCCTACTGTGACAGCTGTGTTTTGCATTAATGAGATGAACACTGAAACAGTGACAGGCTACTGGAGGGAGAACTAGACTTACATGTGGAGGATGTTTCATTTCAATGAGTCGGAATATGAATTTAAATAAATAATGACTTAATTATAAGGGAGCACACAGTAGCATAATTGGTTGACGCCCTATGCTACAAGCCAGAAAGTCGTGGGTCAACTCCCGATGAAATCATTGGATATTTCAGTTGACCTAATCCTTCCAGCCGCACTATGGCCCTGGAATCGACTCAGCCTCTACAAAAATGAGTACCAGGAATCTTCCTGGCGGTAAAGGGCAGCCGGCGTGTAGGGCTGACAACCTCACCGCCATCTGTGAGGCGATTTTCTAGAAAATGTGGGAGCCTCAACCATCATAACCCTACTGGCCTCCATGACCTATTACAAGTTTACCTTTGCCTTTCTTTTACCTTAATAATAAAAAAGGTTCTAATAATGGTACATCATACTTGGGTGTACTGAGAGTCTGGACTTTGCTTATTGTATAGCATTACATTTTAGAAACTGGATCTTTTTTCGTCTTCTGGTGAAAAGGCGCTGGACCTAACTAAATAAGTACTCCCCATCCCCTTCTTGGGAACAGGTTCTGTTTCTGAGGCTTCGTAGCCTCAGAAATGTAGCGCCAAGTAGTCTGTTGAAAGTCAACCGACATTTCGGACGAACATTCGCCTCCTTCTTCAGGGCCAAAATTAAGCTGAGCAAGAAACCACAGTGAAAGCAGGCAGAAAGCAGGGCTTACAGCAGTGATTATGAAGAATTCTACCTTCTGAGATATATCGTCATGTAGTCTGCTGAAAATGAACCGATGTTTTGGAGGAACATGTCACTTCCATCTTCAGGGCCAAAGAATAAACGTTAGCCGACTTTCAACAGACTACATGGTATTATATCCCAGAAGGTAGGACTTCTCATAACCACTGCCGTGAGAACTTCAAAATCCCATATGATGCCTAATATTGAAACCAAGGTGACTTTTTTTTTTATAACTCAAGCGGTTAGTCGCTGGCTTTCCGCCGCGGCGGCCCGGGTTCGATCCCGGGTCTGGTCAAGTGGGATTTGTGGTGGACAAAGTGGCGCTGGGGTAGGTTTTCTCCGAGTACATTGGTTTCCTCTGCTGATCTTCATTCCACCAATTGCTCCACAATCACCCTCACCTATCATCTGGGGCTGGTACAATAGGCCAGAAGTGGCCGCAGTACAAGGGACTTACTCCCACCCCACTAGCAATAAAAAAAAAGGTATCTTAGTCAATATTGAATATTATATTTAAGCATCCTGTTGCACTCCATACGATAAATGATATAAACTCCGTCTCAAGTGCAAACAATATATTTGTGTCTTTGATCTTGCTCCCTACACTACATGTTTCGGCCTCAGACGGCCATCATCAGGTGTATAACACTCACGTCGCTGTCACACTGCACCCAGTTCAAAATTTAACATCTAAAACACTCTCCCTGTCATTATCAACTTCTACTTCGTTGATAGCTGTCCACCCGTAGATTACTTCACACACATTAATTTTGAGTTTATTGTAATAGCACCATAATAAAATCTTTAGTTCTAATTTTAAACTTTTAAATTCTTGTCCAAATTTTAAAATTTTAAAATTGTTAGGGTTATTCGCCCTGTGTTTGAAGTGCTCAAAGACACAAATATATTGTTTGCACTTGAGACGGAGTTTATATCATTTATCAATATTGAATAGGCCACAGGTTGGACTACCGGGGGACTGGAATTCTGTTCATTGCAAAAGCAGGCACATTTCTCTTCACCACAGTGTCCACACTTGGCTCATTCTCACAAGTATGTCAGTCAGATAATTAATTGGTTGTCTAATTAGTGATGCAGTAATAGGATTAGCCTTACAATTAATTGGGTAAACAGTGCAGTGTGAAGTGTGGCATTTTGCTGTGATAACAGAACAAGCTTCTTGTTCAGTGGGTATCAGGGGTTAATTGATAGCATCATAATCCTCTAGAATGTGAAGTGCTGAACCCATATGTGAGGACAACTATCATAATAGCATGCTTAGGACATAAGGCACATATGTAAAAAAAAAAAGTAAAGCTATCCCTGTAACAGGCCGTGAAGGCCCATAGGGTTGTGAGACATTGAGGGTCCCACATTATCTAGACAATCGGCTCAAAGATGGCGGTAAGGTTGTCAGCCTTATGCGCCGGCGGCGCTTTACTCCCCAGGAAAATTATTAAATTAATTCCTGGTACTCATTTCTGTTAGAGGCTGAGTAAACCCCAGGGCCTATTGCAGCTGGTAAGATTAGGTCAATTGAGAAAAATCCAGTACCGCATCGGGACTTGAACCCGCGACCTCCTGGGTGGTAGCATACACTACACTACCGCGTTGGCACATATGAACAAACCTTTTTGTTGAGTTTTAGAGGCTGGACTCCATGTTTCTCTCGGTACTCATTGTGTGCCTTAAGACAGTCTGCTGCAAAATCACCTTCAGCACCTACTGTGTCATTTTCTGGCTTTGATTTTGTCTTGGATAAGTTGAATTTGCTTTCACTTTTCTATAAAAGAGAAAAAATAATTAGTTTCATTCCCAGTATTATGAAGTCACCTGAATATCAGGTAATAATATGCAGTATTTTGTACTACCCCTAAGATGTATTCAGTAGATATCTGGTTCAGAGCTCTTCAAAATTTGCTATTCTGACTGTGGCAGACTCTGAAATAAATTTTATTCAATAAAACGTTACTTTAATATTGCATACCATGTTAGTTTCTGTAAAACCGATGTTAATTTTTCAAAAAAGTGGATGATATTGAGTTAGTTCTGTAAAAAGTATGAGACATGTGGAAAAATAACTTGTTAGCTGCAAGACTCTAAAGTAAAACTCGGTACCAGAGAGTGTGCAAGGAGACATTGTGGTTCACTGAGAAAAAATGATTATTTTAGAAAGCACCAGCAATCTTTAAATCAGTTTTCTTTTTCCTTTCTTCCATAATGTTTGGTTCCAGTGATTCAAGCCCATTTCAAATGAATTACTGCATTATATATCTGCCTCTGTATTTTGTGACAAAAAAAATTGCAACCATTTTAATCTTTTGAATTTGGTATAATGAGAGAAAGCGACATTTTTTACAAATATTCACAACCAAAAACCTACATCTAAGCAACTAATCACTAATCACCCTAGAGTATTCATGATAGACAACACATTCTTTTTTTCAAAAGTAATTTTAATATTCAGTATAGTATTTCATCCTTTTCCAAGTTTTATTTATTTTCCAGAAAATCCAGGGTGAGGTAGGACAAATGCCTGACTTGCCTAGCCTGCCAATGCTCAGGTGTTCACTAACATCTCACCTGTTTCACTGTTGTGGATCTCTCTGGTGACATGCTAGGTGATCTAGACTTTGGTTTCTCTTTTCCTACTCTGTCTCTCATGACACTGTTCGTAGTGCCTGCAAATTAATAAATGCTCATAATATATATATATATGTAATTCGGTTACAAGTAATTCAATATTAATGCATCCTGTAGTACACTGAAATAATATACAAGGCCTTTCAGGCTATGAGTCTAATTCCATCATCAGATGATTGTCTATCATTATACTGACAATTTCTTTAACCAGTTTCTTCCAATATGCATTATAATGATTAGGATGAAACTAGAAATTGTTCTAATCCAACTTTGTTAGCCACACCAAATGTCTGATGGTTAGCCTATAACACATATAAGTACTCTGAGAGTTCTGGTTTCAGTTTTGACTGCTATCATAAATGTATAAAAGCAAAAACAGACTATGTCAGTATAAAGCTGGAATAGCTGAGTGAGCATAATTACTGAGTTATGGACTGCATGACAGAATTTCAGCTTTGATTCCTGGCAATGGTAGACATGTTTCTCTTCACCACAGTGTCCATACCAATGGTAGGACCTAGCCAGCCTTCTATCTAATCAGTATTGGGGATATTTTCTGATGCATAAAAGTGGCATCTAAAGTCGATATTAAGAATGCATGGAGCTATACCTCTACTACTCCACATATCTTCATTACATGGTACTAAATTAAGCACAGGGACAACTTTCCAATCATCTGAAGAGAGGGACAGAGTTGACTCCCAAATTGTAGACCCTGTATTAAATATATCAGCAGTTATCAATATCAGACTTAACAACATTATGAAATATTACCATTCTGTTCTTTCTCCAAGACAGTCCGAAACTCGTCTGGCAAATTCTGGAAGACATCGCGCTTTTCGGATGTTGTCACCCGGTCTGGCTTATTTCCTCGGTACGTTTCCACTGTTTCACGTGTGACGGTCTCAAACTTTGGCTCCTACAAGGGTTAGAACATATATAGAAGGACATGTTGGTACCTTTTACATGTAATGGCTCATGAGTCTGAAACAACTTTAATATCTCAGCAATACAGCGTTGTTTGTCAGATATCAAGTGATCGGTTTTTTGGTAGGTAAATACTCATTTGGTGAACGGAGAAGTTCATGGAGGTAGACCTAGGCCCACTGGGGCTGTAGTGCCAAGGAAAAGAAAAATACTCATTTGGTTCACTGTCTTTGTATAATTGATTGATCACTGTATGCGACCTGGCATTCATTGCACAATACAATTTACATGAAGTACCAAAGAGTTTGGTCCAGTAGCAACTACATTGATTCATATTTGAGAGATGCTTGATTCAATACTCGGCAAAAGACACTGACTATTTTAGGTTATTGTGGTATTCCTCAGTCCCTGCAGGCAAGTGCCAAGATATTAACTTGACTAGGCCACGAACACATCTTTCCAAATATTTTCCAACTCCTGTACCATCCTACCATTTGACATTATATAGTCTAGCTACTGATAACGTGAAATAGCCTGCATAAAATGTAAAAGTGTGTGTACTGGTGCCTGATACCGTGTTCTTGTCTGCATAAGCACTCCCATAAATCAAGAATGATGAATCTATTCACATCCATGGGAAAGTCGAAATACAGACTAAATAAACGTTCTGGTAATTAAATATACTCCAAAATAAACAATTATAGACCCACAGGTTACTTGAGCTACCAAATTTATGCTAGTTAGAAAAATTCCAATTCCAAATAACAATCTGGGAAATGCATGCCCACAGAAATGATTTCAACTTATTCTCACCGTTTTGTTTAGTTACTTCAGAAACAGCAAGCTTTGCAGAAAAAGTTGACTGGTCATACAGTGTCTGTTTCGTTTCCCTCTACAGCGTTCTTTTTTCCTTCGCCCCTTAAATATTCAGTGAATTAATGCAGATAGTTTCATGTAAAGCTATTCAAAATATGTTCACACTTCTTTCTATATTGGCTATGCTCTAATGCAGTGTTTCTCAGCCGGTGGAGCGTGGCCCACCAGTGGGACTTTACAGCTTCTCAATAATACTGCACTGTGACCGTATTTGTGCCCTCAAAACTGTCTCATTTTTGTATTATTATAGAAATGCGACATATTATAAAAAATTGTTAAATGGTAAAAGGTAACGTCCCTGTGCTTAATTAGTTAAGCAACACGCCCTGAAGGCGTATGTGGGAGTGGAGATATACACGTAGCTCCACATTTCTTGACCTCGGCACTAGATGGAGGTGAGGGGTCAGTTTCATGATACGGTCGCTTTACCTCCGGGGAGAAAGCCCCGGTATCCATTGGACCTCAGAGCCGATCTGGAAGATGTGGAGAAGATAAAAATCTCTTGTCCCTACCGACAATCGAAGTCCAGCCGTCCAGCCCATAGCCTGTCCCTATATCCACTGAACGATGCCGGTTCTGCAGTATTTAAATTATTAAGACCTATTATTATGATTAATATTGTGACATGTTGACCCCTACCTCCCCAGCTGCACGTAGCGGTAACGTAGCGCTCGCGTAATAGGCGAGTAATCACCCCGCAACTCTCCCCGCGGTGACGTCACGAGCGGAGCCGAAGTGAGCCGAGCGGAGCCGACGTTAGCCGAGTCCCCGCAACCTTGAAGCTATGCAAAGCGAGTCAACAGCGGTGACGTCACCAAGGGGTAACAGCGTCCTAGGCTATACGCCACGTCACACTAGCAACAGCGAACGGAATAAAAGCCGGCTGAGCAGCAAGCGAGAGTCAGTGTGTTATCGGGTTCTCAGTTCGCAAGTTACGAGCTACAGACACGTGTGCGATAACCAGTTATATTTGGAGTGTGTAATTCAGGGAGACTTGTATAGCTCCCGCGTTATTAATACGTGAAGACTCTTGAAGATAGTGTTAAGAGATTTTGTTGTAGGGTTTGTAAAGTGTGGAAACCCGTAACATTGTGACAATTAATTGTAGCCGATATTTGTAGATTGTTCAATAAACCAATTAACGATCTCTACGGCATATTCAGTAACGAAACACGTTACAATATAATCCTAACGTTTACATAACTGTAAAATACACTTCTTGGAAGAANCAGTCATCGCCGTGAAAACCTCAAACTTACAAAATAAGATTTGTTTCTAATAAAATGGGACTCCAGTTTTTAGATAAAATGGCCGATGGACCACAAGATTCAGAAGATTGAGTATCACTGATCTAGTGACAGTCTCTTGTAAGCAGGGTGTTGAGTCTTGGGGTCCCACAAAGGTGGGAGCGGTCTTAACCAGAGAACCGACAATCATCTCCTTAAGAAAGACTTTATGCAGCAAGTCTGGTGTAGAACTTTATAAATAAAAACAACAGCTCATCAGTAGCAGCTTAGAAGTTTGAGTGGAATTCTTTGGAAATGATGTAGAGAAGGGGTGTGTTTTCCCCGGTTGCTTTGGATTTTACCGGGCACACAACGTGTTACTGTGAAAAACTTTCTGAATGGGACACTTCAAGTCCATTGTGAAGTATTTTAATAACAACAGTTTGTTTCCGGTGCTGAAGCCTTGGATATTTGTCTATTGAAAATGTCACATTAACGCGTGTTTCTTTTTAACTGTGTTTGTTTAACAGAGATTTGAAGTATAACTACAGTCTGCTTACCAACTGTGACGACATGCGCCAGAAACAAACTGCTGGAACACTGCGCACGTGGTCACTGCTAGGCTCAAGGATAGACAGGAGGTGACATGATGGAGTAGATGAACATGGGTGGGAACAAATGAAGCTCTGTATAGAATCGATAGAAGTGTTTGCTTGCATAGACGGTAGCGGGATTTCATTTCAGAATGAGGGGAAAGAAGATGAAAGTCAAGAAGAAACATTTAATGCATATACAGTCTGAAATCAGCTAGCAGCACACAAACAGCCGCAATAAAGAAAATTTAACCTTTAACCTCGAACGCACAACTATGTCTTTCAGGACATTGAAAGGAAAGAAGATGGAACATGAGAATTAAAGAGCAGTAGGAGGAAAAGAAGAATTGTAGAAGGAAGAAGAGGAGCTGGCGTTTAAAGAGAATAAGAATTAAAGGAAGAAGAAGATGCTTAAAAATAATGAAGATGGAAGAGAAACAAGAAGAGGGCAAAGATGAATAGGAAAATAAGGCTTCTTCACGCCTTGGGTCTGAAAGGAATGAAAGAATAAAAGATCTGCCCTTCGTTCACGCATGCCGTCTGTCTTTTGTCTTCTGATTTAAGGTCAATGCGTTTCAAATCAAAGTGACAACCGCTAGATGGCAGGACGATAACAGGAAGTACGATGGCGTACATTAATAATTTATGTTGTTAAACTAATTTCTTTTTGTCTAAATCAGTTGATTTTATACAAACATTAAGAAAGGCGTAACATGCACGATATATGGATGTGCATTTGCATTTTACTTTCAGGCGAATACTTGAAGAGAGAGCCCAGGTAATGCATGTACATCGTTAATTAATGTGGGAACTGAAAAAACACCCATAGTTATATTCATGCAACAGAATAACTGTGTATTTAGTTTCATCGGAAGCAATAGATTCCAAAGATGTGCATGTAAATTGTTCCATAAATTAAATTAAAGTGAAAAGAACTCGTACATGGTAACCATGGTATTTGACTAAGTAAAAGTAAAGGTCATGTACTGTCTTCGCTCGCTTGGAAACCGGGATCATGGGTTCGAATCCCACTCAAGGCATGGATGTTTAGTGTGTGTGTATGTGTGTGTGTGTGCGTTTGTGTATAGGTAGAGGCCTTGAGACGAGCTGATCACTCGCCCAAGGAGTCCTACAGAATGTGTAAAATCAAGAAAAACCTAAGTGAACGGAGAGTTCATGGAGGTAGGGCTAGGCCAACTGGGGCTGTAGTGCCAAGAAAAAAAAGAGGTAAAGGTATCCTTGTAACAGGCCGTGGAGGCTCATAGGGTTGTGAGATGTTGAGGTTCCCACATTTTCTAGACAATCGGCTCAGCCCTACGCGCCGGCCGCCCTTTACCCCCAAGAATATTCCCGGTACTCATTTCTGTTAGAGGCTGAGTCGACCCCACGGCCATATTGCGACCGGAAGGATTAGGTCAATTGAAAAGAAATCCAATGACCTAATCGGGACTTGAACCCGCGACCTTCCGGCTTGTAGCATAGTGCCTCAACCCCACGGGTTTTGACTATGTATGTTATTTTGCTGTGTATGTTACGACGTCTTCACACCACAGTAGCTGTCACATATTTATATAGGTGGCAACATTTTACTATTAAGCGACCTCCATGGACTGCATATTTTACAGACCTTATAACCGCACACGGCCTGAACACTTCTTACAACCGTTGTTCGTCAGTTCTTATGACCGTTGCCTATCTATCTTTATGTTTATTTATTTGTTTGCCCGCTTCGGTAGAACACTTTTGACTCTTCTCAGGGTTGTGCCACGGTAATAACTGGGGCAACGCGGAGACTGCACATTTAAAACTAGTCCACTGATACGAATAAAGTACTCTATTTTCTGCTTAATCACAATATTGTTTAATTCAGAATCAAACTATAACTTTATCGGCGAGTAGGGAGTAATGTGCCAAAGATTAATCGAGCCAAATAAATACTGTTAAATTTAGATAAACTTAGAGAGAGCAGGTAAATGACGTCTGCCTCTGGTGAATTCTAAGTGCCAAGTCGGATACGTCTGTCTCTGATGAATTCTGCACGCCAAGTGCCTCTGCCCACTCTATCTCCGGGAGCGTCACTTCTTACCGTATAGGATTTGAACCGACGGCCTTTCTCCCAGACAAGAATTCTCTCTCTAATGGCTGATTTTAACTGCCAAATCATGATACCATCAGTACAAGACAATCACATTACTAACTTTGAGAATGAAGAGATCCAGAGATTTTGAACCCGGGACCCTACATGTGAAAGCACTTATGTCTTAGTTTAGGGCAGACAACAAACATATCCTTTTCAT